GACGTTACCAGAGGAGGGCGACCATGGGACTAATGCATGTTTGTCCAGTCTTGAGCTAGGAGCGCACATTGTTCAGTGCGTTAATACCTACTATTAAGTTGGTTCACACTCGTGGAAGGGCTTGTGTTTGGTCAGGACAGTGGGTGTAAAAGGTCCTTTATCTTAGGTCAACATGGGACAACCTCCCAGCAAACACTTACCCGGGCGCAGTGAAAGGTCTCTAATTGAGTGGGTGGGGTGTTGGTTGGGGGGAGTAGGGTGGTGACGGCTAGGGGTGGGGGGGAGGGGCTACTGGTGGTGATTGGTAGGGGTAATGGAGATGGTGTCTCTTGTGGTTTGGGGCGGACTAAAGGGTAGGTAGCGTGGTGGTGGTGATTGGTGGTTGTTGGGCATAATGGTGGTGATTAGTGTTGATGGTGGTGGTAATATTAGTAGTGGTTGTGATGCGTCTATTTAATGGTAGGGGATTAAAACGCTGGCAATTGTAGTTGTCAAAGCAATAGTTGTAGTGTATTTGATGTTGGTGGTGGTTGTGGTAGTAATGGTGGTGGCGCTGGTAGTAGTGGTGATGGTGGTGATTACCTTGAGGCGATTCAGAGGATCAGTGCCCCCTGTTTCCGGGTCTCCTGGTTGGTGGTGTGATCAATCAGGCTGTTAGACGTCGCCGCTTACAATCTGACAAATGAGTTACAGCTCAGTTGATAAGGCAGCCCTTGAAGGTGTTTGTCAAGTTCATTTTTAAGCACCGTCAGAGGTCAGCCAGTTCTACCCCCCCCCCCCCTTGTATTTAAAGGGAGGGTGATGAACGGTGTTGGGTCCCTTCAATATTTATAGACTAGTCTCTTAGCACAACCGGTGCACCTTTGCACAGCCATTATTCAAAGTTGCACCAATGGGGCTATTAAGGCAGCGTCTGGGATCTTCTCGGACATAAGTTCGAACCGTCGTCACGGCCCTTGTGGATTTGTTCATGAGCTATTTTGAACATTTTGCCATGCCTCCTGGTTTCGTAAGGAATATTATTTTCTTGTGTAAACTTGGATTCGGTCCACCTAATATTTTCCAGGTATGAGTTATGTATAATATTACTATCTCAGGCGCTTCAAGAAGTAAAGTTTGAGAAAGTTTAAACCGTCCTAATAATTTAGATACTTTATTGAATGGATTCTGGCAGTGAAAGCTCTACAAGTCAGTATCATATTCAGTGTTGAATGGGGCTGTTAGTGTGCAACAGTAAACATATTTTTTTGTAATTCTTCACGAATATGGATTTCCAGGCATCTACGTACCTTATCTACGAGTTCATCTTATTTTCACTATGGGTCTCTCTCTCTCTCTCTCTCTCTCTCTCTCTCTCTCTCTCTCTCTCTCTCTCTCTCTCTCTCTCTCTCTCTCTCTCTCTCTCTCTCTCTCTCTCTCTCTCTCTCTCTCTCTCTCCCTGCACTTTTGTAGTGTTAGTTAAATCGCTTCTATTTCTGTATCTAAATTTCCTTGTCAATCTAAGGCGAGAGTGGAGAGTTTGATTAGTTCTGTGATGGGTTTTCTTAATCTACAAAGAATGTGTCCGTTCTCATTCCAATGTGTTTTCTCGTTATTCTTTGTGGTATGTGTCTTCAGGATACCTTTAGTGACACACGCTGCCTATTCTATTCTCTCCAAGCACTGAGTTAGGTCTAAGTTATTTAGCTGTTCTCCCTAACTTATTTATCTCAAGGTTATCGGTTATCTTGAGGTTATCTTGAGATGATTTCGGGGCTTTTAGTGTCCCCGCGGCCCGGTCCTCGACCAGGCCTCCACCCCCAGGAAGCAGCCCGTGACAGCTGACTAACACCCAGGTACCTATTTTACTGCTAGGTAACAGGGGCATAGGGTGAAAGAAACTCAGCCCATTGTTTCTCGCCGGCGCCTGGGATCGAGCCCAGGACCACAGGATCACAAGTCCCGCGTGCTGTCCGCTCGGCCGACCGGCTCCCGGTTACTTGTTCCCAATTACCCTGTAGGTGATGATACTGGCAGTGTAGGGGATAATAGCAGGAGTAGTAATTGTGGTGGTGCTGGTGATAATGGTAATAGTGGTGACGATGGTAGTAGTGGTGGTGTTGGTGCTGGCGATGTTGGTAGTCTCGTGTTGGTGAATTGAGTAATGGAGAAGGGACTTGAAGAACTGTCGCGGAGATGGCTCTGTAGGATGGTGAGTGACAGATGCGTTAGGCGGCCTCTTGTGATGTGAGAGGGAGTAGAAAGAGCTGGTGAGAGAGGGAGGATTGTGAGAGGGGGGGTAGAGATAGAGAGAGTGGGGATTGTGGTAGAGAGAGAGTGGATTGGAAAAGGTGAATGAGGAAGAGATGATTGTAAAAAGGAAGTGAGGTTGGGAAAGTTGGTTGTTAGAAGGGGAAGTGAATGGAGAGTGGATTGTGTGAGAGAGATTGGATTGTGGGGGGAGAGAGAGAGAGTGGATTATAGTAGTGACCATCAGGTAGCTGGGGGGGAGGTGTTGAGAGAGAGAGAGAGAGAGAGAGAGAGAGAGAGAGAGAGAGAGAGAGAGAGAGAGAGAGAGAGAGAGAGAGAGAGAGAGAGAGAGAGAGAGAGAGGAGAGAGAGACAGGTGCTTGGAAAGAATGAAAAGAAAAGGCACAAGGAGATGAAGGGTTAGTTCTTGGATGAAAACAAAATAAAAATTCGAAGAAGAGTATGAACAGGGGCGCGAGAAAGGAGAAGTCGTATATAGACTGAAAAACAAGGTAGAACGAGAATGCGTTCTTGAGAGGATAGTGAAGAGGCTGGACTTGTGTACACTATTGGGGGAGGGAATTGGGGTGTTGAACAGAGAAGAGAACACTAGGATAGCAGGGAGGGGATCTGTCTTGATCCATTGTTGAAAGAGCTAAGAGACAGTCGAGCTGGCTGTCGTATACAACCTAACGTTCCATCCTGCCAAATGTGTTGTATTTGCTTTTAACTCAAAGGACTCGTCTTGTTGAGATCCCAATCTAAAATTACTAGGCAGAGAAATTCCAGTATTCTGAAAAGCATCTGTAGAATGTTGTTATATCCACAAA